CTTTGTTCTCGTGTTAATGTCTTTCACACCAGTGTGTGTGAAAAGAGGAAGGGATGGGTCTAAATTTCTAATTCTTTACTTCAACACTCTTTTTAGATCATGTTGCACAACACATATTCTATCCTATGCAGATCTTGTTTACTTATTATCAGCTAGATTATTATGTACGACAGCTTCCACTAGGTAACATACAGACACAATTATGTACGTCTGTCAATCTGGTTGCAAATGCCATGACTATATTATGTTAATTGTATTTTCTGTTCAATAGATCAAAAACAATATTGATTAAGTCTATTATAGATGCTAATGAAGAATGGTTCATTTAGTCTAACACAATCATCTAATTCGACAAACAAATAAACAAAAAAATATATAAACACAATCAAATCAAGCAAATCATATCCATTTTTTAAGTGAACTAATTACATGAATAATAAGTCAAGAATGATAGAACCAAAGAAATATTTTAAAGTATATTCATTTATTTATTTGTCATTTGATCCATTGCATATATATTCATCATCATTTATATAGAAGAGTACAGCCTACGCACTAAAATACCATCATATTGATAATCATCATGACAGGCTAAAGAGAAAGCTTGAGTTATTTTTGGAAGGGAGAAAAGAATAAACAAAAACACAACTACCAACCGACGAATATTTCCATCAATACAGTTGTATATATTGCTATATAGAAGAAGAAGGAAGAAATACCAGAAAAAGAAGTGCATAGCCCTGAAAATTGGCTCTCACATATCAGAAAAGAAGAAAAAAACACGAGATAAAAATACAGTATCCATCGTTTTTTTTGCTATTTCATTCTATTGCGTCTTATTTTGTCTGTGGTTTTTTTCTAGAGTTTTTCACATATATAACAAATATGTCTTCTGGTCCAACAGTAAATCGTCCATTGACGAAAACATTTTGTGAAAAATGTAAACAAGTGTTTACACCCAAAGATGCTATGCAAACATATCAAGACAAATTTTATCATCCACATTGTTTTTGTTGTTCAAGTTGTGGAACTACATTAGCTGGAAAACCATTTTATCCTAAACCAAATAGTCAATTTCAATGTGAAAGTTGTAATCATACACTTGCACCAATGTATGTAAAATAACAAAAAGAATTTTCAATTTATTAAAGACAAAAAAATTTTTATTCTATAGTTGCTGCATGTGTAAACAAAAGATTCAATCAGGCACAACAGCAAAACGATATCAAGATCGTCATTATCATGGTGATTGTTTTCGGTAACAATATTTTTGTTTTTTCTGACAAATTTTCTAATGAATAATTTGTTTATTTAGTTGTTGCAAATGTACTGCAGTTATACCCGATGGTAATTATTCATATTTCTGATTATTTTTGTTTTATCTTATTATGGAATAAATTTAGGTCACAATTTTGTTGATATGTTAGATGGACGTTTTCAATGTTTAACATGTTCAAAACATATAACTGGAACATATCAAGGCAAAGAACATGCTCCACATTTGGAAAATATGCTTGGTGAAATAACTAGAGTTTCATGTGATCAAGCAGGTCGTGTACCAATATGTGACAAATGTTCGCGACCAGTAACAGGTGATGAAGAAGCATTTAGACATGATACACGTTATTATCATATTGAATGTGCTCGTTGTAATCGTTGTCGTAAGAAACTTTTTAAAATTCCATGCAGAAAACTTGGTTCTGCTTTAGGTAAGCATAGAAAATATTTGATAGAAAAAAACCAAAAACAAAAGAATTATGTTTTTTTTTTGTTTTCATTTTAGTCTGTCATACATGCTCATAACTTACTATATATGTCTTTTCGTTTAATAAACAAAATAATTAAGCTTCATTATGATAATCTACCCGATTGAAAAAAACAAAACAACAACCCTTTATCATTTTGATTTTACCACGCTAATCATATTAAGATTTTTTTTTTTTCGTTTTCTTTTTTTTTTATTGACAAAATAAAATCAAGAGATCGAATAATTTAATTAACTTTAATTGTATCTGATTTATGTGATGAATTTGAAACAGTAGTACGAAGCGGTGATATTATTGGTTTTTTATTTATGTCATTTGTAGCACGACGAAGACGTTGTTGAACTTTATGTTTAACCATTTCTTTACTTATTTCAACTTTTTTTATCCATGGTTTTTTTTTAAAAAAAGTAGCTTCTCGTAAACAATCAATAGCTGTTGATCGTGTTGATGCACTTGCATAACGTTCATAAGATTTAATTGTTGATTGATGAATTTCAAGATCAATACGAGATTTTATTGGACTAATCGATCTATTAGTCGGATGATCTGGTAAAGGTATATAAGAATCAACATCAAGCATTGAAATACGATCACTACGAAGTGAACTACTCAGTGGATTGGTAGTAGTTATTATTGTTTCTGTAGATTGTTGTTGTTGTGGTTGTGTTGATTGTTCATTTTCTGTAAATAATTCACTTGTCTTAGTTGTTTTATTTTGTTCAATTTCTAAATCAAAACCAGTTGATGATACTAAATAAGCATCAACTAATGACATTTGTGGTTGAAAAACTTGTTTATTAACATTAGCAACTGTATCTGTTTTATTTGTTGAGATAGAATGTATTGTTGAAGAATTAATAATTGGTAATGTATGTTTATTTTTTTCATTAACAATTGACATACGTGGTGTTACTTGATGAATTTTTGATGTTTGTTTAGTTTTTTCTTTTGATTCATGAGAATCTAAATAAAATAATCGATTAAATATAAAATCGATAAATTTTTATATAATTTACTTTCTGATCGAATAGGATTAACTAATGTTGATTGTAATAAACTAGTAATT